TTTGTTTGTTGTTATTAATGTACTTTCAATATCAATATTCTAGAACCTATTCTGCAACACCTTGACCCAAGTCATTTGAGTTCAAGATTGTGCTTTGAAGCTTTTGGACCCCAGACCAAGCAGACCAAAAATAATGGGGCACCCACTGTCCATATGTATATGATACACAAGGGAATTTTCTTCAGCCTTGCTACATATGTCATTGTGCAGAAACTTTGACATTACATAGCATTTGGATGAGTGAGGAAAATCAAGTCCAGAAAATCTGTACCTAGTCTTCCAGCCATTTTTAAAATTGACTTATGGAATCACCAGTAAACACCTGGGTTTGTTAAGGTAAAGTGATTCAGACAAGTTTCATGACCTTTTTCTATTGTAGGATGTTGGTGTGGATTCATTTTGAAAAATATGTAATTTTCAGCAGCACTGCTTCAAATATCATTGTATGTGCAGCAGCACTGCTTCAAATATCATTGTATGTGTATACAGTGGCTTTAACATTACATAATATTTGAATAGGTGAGGAAAATTCAAGTCCACAACATCTGTGCCTACTCCTTCAACATGTGAGAGTTTGTGCAATGTCCTCTGGTGATTACATACAATCCTCTACGCAACTATGTAATTTTGACACAGAAACAACATTGACACCTATGTGAAAGTATATTCAGAGAAGTGAAACATTTGTATTAGTCTTTTGGTCTGGATGTACTATCAAAATTAGGTAGATTTCTGCAACTCTGCTTGCAATATGATTGTACAGTAACTTGAACATTGTATAACATTTATCTGAGTGGGGAAAATCCAATTCAAGGATACTGGTGCCTAGTCTTCCAAACCTTTCTGAAACTTTAGTAAGCAATCACAAATGAACAACTGATCTGTCCAGTAAATACAAGCATCTGGCCACATCTGTGCAAATATTATTCTGAGTGTTCATTTCAATGATATTTCTGTGAAATTAGAGATTGTTTGTTTGTACTTGGGTATCTGTTCAATTTTCAAAAAAATAGGTACCAAGTACTGCACCTGGCACTGCCCAGCAGTGAGCAGGTACCACTGGTACTTTTGGCGGGTACCGGCAGTACTTTACCTCTCTTTCTCACTTAGTTCCCCTAGCTCTCTCCACATTACTTCATATCCTGTAGGCTGTACTAGATATGTGGTAAAATGAAACTGGATGTGGATATGCAGTAAAAAAACTGCATATGCAATATTTTTCCTTTTTTTTGTTAAAATAGTGTGAAGAAGTAAAAAAAAAAAACGGCAGTACATCCAGTTTCATTTTACCACATATCCAGTAAAGGATATGAAGTAATGTTGAGAGAGCTAGTGGAACTAAGTGAGAAAGAGAGGTCAAGTACCGCTGTGTGAGAGCCCGCCTACTACTTTCTTTTCTTGAGTGACTATAAGTTTACTCAAGAGAGTAAACCGTCTATATTATGAAAGAGTAAGGGTAGTTTACTTTCTAAAGAAAGATAAACTCTTGAAAGGGTTTTATAAGGAAAAGAACTTGAGAGTTTTATTTCGAGGATCAAGATGTAAAGATGATAAACAAAACAAAGAAATCACGATGAGGAAAAAGAAAGAAAAGAGGACAAAGAGAAACAACCAATCATATATATATTAATAAGGAAAACAAAACTCGAGTCAATCATAATGAAATGACGACATCTATAATGAAGTCGACTAGTTGTAAAGATTCAAATAACAACTAACTACCAATATCAAATAAGTAAATAATCTTACTTATCAGTAAGTTTTCAGTAAAACTACAATTCAATAAGGCAATTCGTCAAACAAAACTTCAAACGTTACAAATAAGACTCACCTTATACTCCTGTTTCTACCAAAGTTTTCTTGGGAGTCTTGCTCTTCTTTTTCTTTTTTTTACCAAACAATTCACCATGAAGTTCTCTAAATGTATCTAAATAAGTTTTCATGGAACTTGGAAAATGAGATTCAGCAATCCACGTGTCATTGGCCACCGTTGCACCTCTCCAAGAAACCAAAAAATCATACTTACCTTTCTTTAAAGATTGCGCATCCAAAACCGCTTTCAAAAGAGTCCAATCCACCACTTCTTCATCCTTATAATACTTATCCTTAATACCTTCGACCAACCCTCGATCTATAATAATATTTGGATTAATATACCAGACAATTAGCAATACGTTAAACACCAGATGCAACCTTGGATATTCCTTCTCTATATCTAATTCGACCGCATTCTTACCCACCATACTTTTCACCTTAAAGGGTCCAATGTATCAATAATCCAACTTAGAATTCAACCTCCTCGATTCAATAAACTTCCTTAACAGCAATACATCATCACCTTCTTTATAAACCGGAGCCGGTTTCTTATGTTCATTATAATAAAAT